TTCATAGGAGCCAGGCAGAGAACGTGTATAAACTTTATGCTAGAGATATATAAAGCACAGAGGACAAGGGTGACATTTCCAATATTAATCTCATGTCTCTTGGCTCAAGTTCCAATACAACCCCAGAAATGGAACATAATTGTACTGTTCTGTATGCTTTATGTAATTTAGTTCTCATGACAGTTGTTTGGAGTGAGTATGATAATTATTTCCATTTATGAAAAAGGAAACTTGATCTTGGAAAATGCTAAATTATTTACCCAGGATCAGATAGCTAATAAGTGGCAAAACTGGAATTTAAACTCGGTTTTCTCAGCTCATATTTTTATAAGACAGCTGTGGCTTCAGTGACCCTGTAGGTTCCCCTGATCATGGCTGGAGAAGCATTGCTTAGAGAAACCCAAGTATGCACAGAGCGGTCTGAGCAGGAGTCCCTATTGCAGCCTTGTTTAAGCCAAATGCAATCGTTGCTTCCAAGGGCAGGAGAAGTATCTGAGGAACCCTCTATTGTGTGTTGACATGCTTTCCTCACAGACAATTCTGTGAACCAGATGCCCAACAGGGCCAGATGATGGCTCTTCTTCCTCCATCCCACACCATTCTGATTGCTCTCCTTCTGTGTCTTAAGCACTGGGGACATGGTGGGGCATAAACCACATAAAATCCTCACCCTCACAGAGTTTACAATCAGTATGGACTTAACAGACAATAAACGCAATAAGTAAATTTATTTAGTAATTTACTAAGTTACTAAATAAGTAAGTGATTTAGAGTTATAGGACATGGCTTGGGGGTTAGGGGCCCTCCCTGGAGGGTGTATTTTGAAATGCAGTGGAAGGTGGCCTCTTTGAGATGTCTTTGGAGTAAATTGGGGATGGGAGTTGGTGGAGGTAGTCTGTATCTCAGCACCAAGAGCTGTATTGTTGATAGGGAAGCAGCATCCTCTACCCATCCTCTCTACCCTTTAAGCAGGTGGAGTGGGCCTTTGAAATGAAGCTTCTGTTCTCAACCAGGATGATTGGATCTCAGGGCAGACAGGACCAGTAACTATGTGAAACCCCAGGTCACTGAGGCTTCTGAAGGAGGCACCAGTGAGTGAGGAGAAGGGTCTCCCTAACACAGGCCTTCGTTGGCTGGGGATGGAGAAGTACCCACACACCCACTCCTTTGGATGCTGGCTCTGTGCTATCTGTAATGGGCCAACTCAGAAAACAGCAGATTTCTGACTGCTCCATGCAGTTTCAGCCTAGCCAAGCCCAGCTGAGTTAACTTCCCAACCCAGAACATGAGGATCCTGCCATAGGAAAGGCCACCTGGAATGCCCTGGAAATGCACTCCCTGCCTAGATGGAAGCCAAAATAGGTGACACTGGGGATGTCACCATGAAAGCCTTAAACACTACAGGTGTGTGGATGTCTGCACATCTGTTTCCTCCTCCTCTCCTGCGCAGGGATAGGATCCCCATCAGCTCAGGGAAGCATGACCCACATGAGCACAACTTACTGGGTCAAGCTGACCCCCTGCTCCAGCACAATGGGCCCGTGGCCCTGTGCCTGACCTGCCTTTCAATTTTATCTAGCCAGACACTCATTCTGCTTTGTTCTTTCCTTCAAGACTCATCCACCCTCTTGCTCTGCATGGTGGAGTGTCTTCAGGAACCTCAATTGTCTTATCACCCACCATAGCTGAATGTTTGTTCTCCATGCAGGGAGGAGAAGACTCATTGTGTAGTGTGGCAAAATCTACATGCATGTCGAAGAGAGAGAAATCTGTGAAAATGTAGATCCAGTGACCTTGGGGCATTTGGAAGGCGCTGTGGCCTAAGCCACATCAGAATCTGCCCTCTGTGCTCCCCAAGAAAAGGGTGGCATATTCGGTGAACCTCTTGGGCACTGGGCAGACCCAGAGACCTTGTTTGGAAGCTTTCCCTGACCTTTTTCCAAGTGACTTACAGGCCACAGCTGAGGTGCACCTGTAGCCAAAGAAGACTATAGCCTCTCGGGGCTGCCCTTCACCTGGGAAGCTGGGCACTCAGGGTACTGGCTGGAAGGGGGACTTCTGGGGTCCTTGACCACTCTTTCCAGGAGATCACAGAGGTGTTTTTATAGCTGCAAACTAAGATGCACCCTGTTTGGTAATCCCTAGTCTCTGGAAAATAGATTTTGGCTTATGTACCTGTGCACCTGAGTTTCTGATCCTTCCTACTCCAGTGCTTCTTTCTGCTTGAGCCCACCCAGTGGATCACAGGTTGCCTCTAAGAATGGGGCTGGCACAAGGGTCTCCCCTATCTGACCTATTCAGAGACCCTCTGCTTCACACCTTGCAGTTTCAGTACTGAAGAATTCCCTTGAGATTGCACCTCCTCCTCATAGATGTAATACCCTCCTCCACTTTAATGGCAGAACCACATTCCAGTGAGAGAAGAACCAGTTTCCCATTGTTGGATAAATGATTCAAGGCTTTCTCTACAGTAATAGTGGTGCAGAGGATATTGTAGTGTGAACCTGTGCACATGAGCATGACCCTTTTAAAAGTCCTACCATTGTTAACTAAAGGAAAACAAAATTATACAGGAAAGGAAAGTTATATTATGTTATAGTGAGCTTAGGTTGACATATATTTTTTTCATAAAGATATCCCACTGTTATAGTGACATTTATAGAAAAAACTAATTCTTGGCTGATTGAATAGTTTTGAAATCTTTCTAGAAAATCAATTGCCCATAAATGTGTAGGTCTATATCTGGAGTCTTTATTCTATTGAATACATGTCTATCCTCTGTCAACAACACTGTCTTGACTACTGAAGTCATGAGATCTGATATAATGGATCTTCAAATGGTGCTATTATTTAAAAAAAAAAAAATGTTTGGGTACTCTAAGACCTTAGCATTTCCACATACATTTTTTATTATGGTAAAATACATACAATAAAAAATTTACTTTTTAAATAAAAAATAAATGCAGATTTCTTCCTCCTCATCCATTCTATATTTTTTTCAATATATACTGCCAAAAGATTGGCATTATTTACTTAAGAGATTTTCAAATTCAAGGCATCAAAGAGTTCTGATTGCAACATTCACATGGCTATGCCTGTAGATTCATTGAAAATAGTTAACTTATCATCTCTCTTTATTTTCCAGGTGCCCCATCCTTGGGGATCATTTCCAATTCAGTCATCTCTTGCTTCTTGATGGCAGGTGCTAAGGTCCATGGATTTTCACTAGGATAAGCTTTATGAGCTTCTTTTCAATCTTCTGTGAAAAATGAAACTCTCTACCCTAACAAGTGCAGTATACATAACAATAGGTGTTCCTTAAATATTAATGCATCTCCTTTGGCTCACATGTTGTTATTGAGTGGCCTCCAGGGACTCTACACCTCCTCCAGCTAGGAGGGCCTCATTTTCAGATACTGTGGTTACTGACTGTGAATGTATGGTAGGGAGCAGGAGGGAGAGACATTGATCTGGCTCTACAACTGGAAACTCTTGCCATGGAAATTCAGGAAATAATTATTCAAATTAAAGGAACTGGCAAGATTGGAGGACTCGCTTAGCATTGCTTACCGTAATATAAGCAAAGCAACCCAATAGAAACAAACTTCAAAAACCTCATAAAGCTGTGAGGGTCATCTCAGTCCTCTAGGAATGACCTTGGAAGTCAGCCACACTGCCTGCCCACTCTGATCTGTTTGAAACACTCTACATCCAGAGAAGAGCTGGAAAAAGTGCTAGAAACATCCTCATCACCCTACTCCTGCACAATCACTAATCTATCCTCAGATGCTTTGTTTAAGTACACAAGGAAATCAGATGTGTTCCAGTTTTCTACCAATTACTTGTGACTTCCCTCACTGGGCATTATGTGAGTTCTGTATCTCCCAAGGAAATGCAGGAAAGAGACTTACCTAGAATTGCAAAGTAGTACATCTTGAAAGACACCGAGCAGATCCAGCTCTTTGTGTTTAGATGAGGAAACTGAAGTCTTTGATGACAGCATGACTTGTTCAAGTCACACACATGTTTCTTGTTTTTCTTATCACATTTATATGAAGAGAGGAACTGCATTCATTCCCATATCCCATTCTTTTTTGCTCAAATATAAAAATAGAATTACTGACAAATTGTTGAACGGAGTAGTAATAATATCTCTCTGACAATCCAGAGATTCTTCCTAAAGTTGGTTTGTGTATGGTTCAGTGTATATTTGAAAAGTTAATAACTTATGTGTTATCTCCAGTCAAGAAACAGGGTTAATCTAATTATCCAACAATGACATTAATGTGTAGCCTGGGTGTCATTGGCAGGGACTGCCACCACCAACAGTTTAGAGTTTCCAACAGAGGAGGAGACTTTTATCAGTGACATATGTATTAAGCACTTCACTTAAATCCTAGAAACACATGCTAATAAAAAATGATAATTTGAAATATGATACTTTGTTGTAGGTAATTTTAAAGTTGAAATAGAAAACAGGGATGCAACCATTTTGTTTTGTCTCCAGCATATTCCTAGGGTCTATCTCAGTGGCATGTACTCTTTACCAACTAAATTAATCAATGACTGAAAATTTGTTTTTTACTAAAATAAAAACCTTTAAAGCTACGCAAATCTGTTACTACAAATTCTCCTTTGATTATAATTTCCCCATTGCAATTAAAACCCAACTTCATTTCCCTGCAAATCAATATCTCCAGTAAAAAGAAAAAAATATGAATTTACCCTATGTCCATGGATACATGACATAAAATAATCCTGCCATTCAGAAATCTGTTCTTGAACTCTAAAGAATAAGGCCTTGAAAAATGCTCACAGGTAAAATAGGAAGCATCTAGAGCCGTCTAAGAGGGAACCTTCTGCTTCCACAAATAAAGTCACACATTCACAGGTGCTTCCTGTTTTTTCAGACACCTTGCCCACCTTCTGCACACCAAGTGTGCATTCTGCAAAACGTAAGCCCAACAGGAAACTGCCTGCAAATTCAGGTAGCTTTTCTGACTCTGATGGAGGTCTTGAATATACTTTCACAGAAATGACAGCAAAAACTGTAGTCATTCGGGAAGAAACACGTTTCGAAGAAAAATACCCCAAGGACTAGCAACAAGAGGGTGAGAACACTTTTCTGTGAAAATGCTGTCTCCATTTTACATTTATAAACAGATAAATGTATTTTCTTTAGATATTTAGCTCCTGTGGGTGAAATTAGGAGAACTGACTATGAGTGGGTGATGTTGGTGGTGTTTGTCATTTCTTCTATATGAAGAGGAGGAGGAAAGAGGAAAGGTAGAGTGGGGAGTCAGAAGGAGGCTACGTGACTGGAATAATGTCCCAACTGAGCTCTGGGGGAGAATTACTCTTAACAATTTGTCTGTTTCTGGAAGCTCACAAGCCCCTCCTGAAATTTCACATCCACCCTGAAATAAGCTGGTAGAGCACTGCTTATATTGTGATAATATCATAGCAAGCTTTAACAGAAGTATTCTAGGGGATTTCTCCTTCACATGGTCACAGGTGGACTAGTTGTAATGGAAATGGCAGGGGCTCTGTATTCACTTTCAAAGTAATTCAGGGTAATGAGTACCAAATCATACATAATAGATGTTGGATAATCTTGAGTAATAGATTGATTTTTGGAATAATAAAATTCATAATGGTGAAATTGACAACTTCTAGTATCAGTTTTATTTCAGCTAGCAGCATGTGACTTTATATTTGCTTTGGTTTCATCCATTTTTTTCCAGTCCATATTGTTCCAATTAAGTGAAATTGTGTATGTTTTTGTTTATTAAATTCACTCCTTGATGCTTTTTTTCTGAAATTAATTAATATTCACAAAGTTAACTGGTACAAGAGCTCCATGGTAGAATTATTCTCTTCTAGGATTCAAATATATGTTACTATTCTGGTCAGAAATGGTTTATATAAATCCTAAACAAGATCATCCTTAACAGTGAATTAAGGGAACAATGTTAAGAGGGATGAATGTAATTTTGTTGGTAGAAACAAGATAGAAGCACTTGATCATTCTATATGAAAAATGGAAACATTCTAATTTTTTTTTGTAGTTGTAGATGGACAGAATGCCTTTATTTTATTTATTTTTATATGGTGCTAAGAATCAAACCCAGTGCCTCACACATGCTAGGCAAGTGCTCTGCCACTGAGCTACACAGTCCTAACCCTTTAATTCTTTTTTAAGGAAATTTTACACATATAAGCATTGAAAACATTAATGATTTTGTTTTCAAACTGTAAGATCTGTCCTCATAAGAGTTTATTCTTCTTCCACCTGCCTTGTGTGATTTAGTAACACAGCATATTACTGTGCATAAATATCTGTTGAGGACCCAACATGTACATGCTGTACATTGAGACAAGTCCCATTCCTGAGGAATATACTCATCCTTTTAGGGCACACACATAACACAGTAAAAAGTCACCAAATAACAACAAAGGAGGACTGGAATCTGTCTTGATTCTGTCATTTACTCAGGTTCTCTGAGTTTTAATTTTCTCATTAGTAAAATAAAGGAATTGCATTGGGTATTCTGTGAAACCTCCTCTGGCTTTGAAATGCACTGATTCATAGGCTTCAGTAGACCTGGAATAAAAGAAGCTCATGCTCAGTGGCAGGTGTGTCATTATATGGTTCTGAGAAGTATGAAACTAAAGTGCTATAGCAACTGGGAAAGCTGCTGAGCCTCTTTGGGGCTGAGAGGTTTGGGCTGGGCCTAGAAAACAGAACCTGAGAAGGCAGAGATGAGGGGCAGGAGTTCACAAGGCCAGGGGATGCTAAAGAATGGCTATATCTAGACAGAGCCCCTGTCATACATTTGAGTGCTAAAGAAATCCTGTACCTTGTTTCCTGAAGAGGATAATAATGGTTACTGCAGAAACTGATGATGCAATCAGCACAGTGTCCTTGGAGGAAAGCCACCAAGAGGGACTGAATTTTAAACCTACAGTGCTGGTCAAAACCTTTTTGACTGTTCCGTATAGGGGAGTTCTCTGTTTGTACTGCCTAGTGCACACTTAACTCCTCCCTTCTAAATTGTTGCTTCTTAAGGACATTCAGAAAATAAGATTTCCTAAAAGAAAACTGTAAAACAGCATAGGCTATCATTTGTTGCTAGGCTGGGAAAGGAGTCACTAAAGCTACATCGACACTATCCACCAATAGAGTGAAGCTTCCTACTTTCAGGTGGATCTGCACAGCACCTGCTTTTTGCCCTTTGGCCTCATTCTCTTCTCTCAGTCACTAAGTTCCTGCATGGTCTCTCTTGCCTCCATTAGAACTCAGGTACCATGGCCAGCTATTTCTAGATGTTCATACCAGCTCCTTAAAACCCATCACTTTGTACATCTGCTATATCCTTTGCCATCCAACAGTTCCACTGGTTGTTCTCAATTCTATTTCTAAGCTACTAGGAATTAGAGGAGAAATTTGGAATTTTGTTGAGTGGGTCCTCATGAATTTCTTTGAAACCTCAATGGGACCAAATTAACTTCATAACAAAAAATTATTTGAAAAATATCCCATATTGAAAACAATAATAATTAAATGATGAGTACTTTTAAAATATATACTGACTACAGCAATTGTGTGGAATTTAGACTAAAAAAATTAGAGAAGATTTATGTTGTTGTTTAGAAATGTTGGCTTATATCAATAATAAAAAGGCAGGCAGACATTTTGTGTGTTATAATTTTGTTTTTGACTTCTCTACACTCATTTTCCCACAACCTGTCCCTGAGGCAGCTACTCCCACTGCCTGCCCTGGTCACCAGTATTCCGATATTTGACCTTAAAGTTTTTCAGTCATCTGTCATATTATGTTAAGGCAAATGTAAAACATTTCCATTCTTTCTCTGGCTTCCCCAGTTTCTTTTTGATCTTTGGGAATCGTGATCAATAGCATGGACTATGCCAGTTTTCAGTCTTCAGGCCCAACTAATCAAGCCTCTTAGTGTTTCCATTTCCTCCTTTGCAAAGTGGTGATAGTACAAGTATATATGCCATAGTATTTGGGGCAGGGGACAGTTAAATGAATACATATGTTGCTTAGAAATAAGTTTGACACAAAGTAAACATTTAAAATGGAGCCATGCTCAATACTTCCATGTTTCTTATTCTACCTATGTCTCTCCCACACCCCATGTCCTAGAAACTGCAAAGTCATCTCTGGTCTACTTTCTTCTTTTTTTATTCCAAATATTGCTTCCTAGTTCTTTCATTAGTTTTCCATTGTAGTATTACAATACTCTCTCCTGGTTGTCCTACCCATAATTCATTCCTACATTCACTAAACATTTACATAAATTCAACTATGTGCCAAGAACTGTTCCCAGTGGGAGCAAATGAGCCTTTGGGAACTTATAATCAAGCAAGGGAAGGTAGACTCGTGAGCAAAGAAAGGTTACACCATTTGCAGATGCTGTGAGAGGGAGTCCCTATAGGGTTCAGTGATGGAACAAGGGAAGAAGTCAGAAATGCCTCTTGATGGAATAAGCAGTGGGAAATGGAAAATTAGCATGGACTCTGGACTCAGACCAACCTTTACCCCAGTTCTAACACTTCTTAGCTCCAGGACCTTAGGAAGTTTGTATATTTATTTCTTGTTTGTATAAAACACCTCAAGCCTAGAGAAAAGTATTTAGAATAAAATGAGTGGCTATGTGCCTGTCATAGAGCTTTGTTAAATATTTACATTTTCTCACAGTTATTTCAGTTTTTTACAAAAAATTAAATGTTAAAGATACAATTTAAGCAAGTTGCATACCTCCTCTCAGCTCAGTTCTTTCCCCTTCCTCCCTTTGTCCAAACGCAACACTATTTTTAATTTTATATGTATCATTCCCATGATGTTTCTACATCTATAATGCATAGATAGCGACAAATAATAAGGAATATGGTTTTGTATTATTAAACTTTATATGAAAGGTATTATGTTTTTTTATATTTTTCATATCTTGCTTTGATCATTCAACATTAGATTGTTGAAGATTATTAGTACTTTCATTTATTTTCAATGTTAATACAGTAAAATATACCATAAAACAGTTATTGCAAAATTTGTCAATTTGTTCTCTTATTAATATTCAATTAAATTGCCTGCTGTATATTGTTATGTTTAACAACACTGCAGAGATGCCCTTGCATGTGTTTCTTTGTACACACAGGACACTTTTCCTAGGAACTACTGTACAGCATCTGTTCTTTTAGCTTCATAAGATAGTGCATAGATACTCCTCAGAACTGCATGACAGTTTCCATTTCTTTATATCTTTGCCCACATGCAATATTTTCATCAATTTCAATTTGATAATCATTAAAAGGGTATATTATTTTAATTTGCATTTTCAAGATGCCCAAGACTTTTCTGGTTTATTATATGGAATAATAAAAAGAAATCTTTCTTTTATTCCTCTCCCTATATCTCCCAGTTTAATCTCTGTTTGTTCAAATCGAACTCCTCTGAGTTTACATTACTTTGGATGCCAGATTAGTCACCATTTTTTTCCTGAGTAAATAAATCTCACAGCAGGTGTTTACATTCTGAGTAACCTCGAAAGATACCTTATTTGCACAAGTGGAATTGATATTGCAGTGCCAACATTAAGGTTTAGGAAGCATCCCTTGATTTTTCCCTCTAATGTATTTCCCTTAAGTTTTTCCACCAGTTGATAACCATGAACACACAAAATACTTCTTATAAAGTTATATGTGGGATATTGCTGCTTGGTTGAGAAAATCAAGTCACTGAAAATCTGAAAAGGATATGCTTTTGGCACTTTTCTACTCTTCTCTATTGGTTAGAGTGTTCTGACACAAACAGGTGTCATAGGACTTGAATTACTTTGATAAAGCTCAACTAAGCATCTAGGTTCTGGAGTTTTTTACAAAAAAAATTATCTTTTCTAGGGTTTTGGTTTTTGTCTTGTGTGTGTGTATGTGTGTGTGTGTGCTATTTCCTCATGAGTCTTCATGCACATTTATTCTGTTTTTTTTGTTGTTGTTCTAATTTATGCATGACAATAGATTGCATTTTGACACATTATATATAAATGGAGTGTAACTTCTCATTCTTCTGGTTGTACATAATGTACA